GCGGCCCGCCCGCCCGGGTGGCTGCGCTGGGGTCACTGCGCCATCTAGCGCTGCCTCCTTCCTCACCGCTCGTCTGCGCCGAGCGCGGGCTCTACCGGCTCCTCACGAGTTGGCGGGGATTGCACCCCCAGTGCGTGTAGAGCCAAACTTCCTGATTCGTAAGCACCCCAAAAGCTGGGGAAATTGATGTGCAGGGGCAGCAGCTTCTTCTAGCCGCTGTCTTCCCCGGTAGGTGAGTGTTCATCCAGCTTGGACGCCGTTAAAGAGGAAAAACCATGACAGTGCTGGGTTGGATCAGTGATGTGTGGGCACAAAACGCACATCTGAAATACCAAGTTAGGCTGCTTCAGTGGGCTCTGGAGAGAAAACGCAGATTCTGCTCAGGATCGCTGGCTGGATTCCGCGCCAGGCTGGATCCAGTCAGGAAGCAACAGGGCAGCAGCAGAAACAAGGTCCAGACCAGCAGGGGCTGCTCCCGCAGCTCCTGCCCGGGTGCTGCCCTAAGGCACAGCTCCTGCGAGGCCTGATGCCTGCAGGGACCAGCACCGTCTTGCTCCAGAAAGAGTGGCTGGGCACCGAGGCCAGCAGGAGATGAGGTCTGCTGTCTCCACAGCCTTGCAAACGTAGCCGGTAGTTTCTGATAAGCCTGGCCTGCAGGGACCAGCACCGTCTTGCTCCAGAAAGAGTGGCTGGACACTGAGGCCAGCAGGAGATGAGGTCTGCTGTCTCCACAGCCTTGCAAACGTAGCCGGTAGTTTCTGATAAGCCTGAAAGCAGCCGGGCTGCTGAGGCTCCCCTGTTGCCTGTGGTGACTGAGGGGACAGCTGCAGTGTGGTGGAGGAGGAAGGACAAGCCCTCTCAACCTCGGCTAGGCAACTCTTTTGCTCACCAGCATGTGGGCTACTGACTTTGTGAGGTAATGAATGTGTGAATTGTTGAAGGAATTAATTGAAGAACTGAGGATTTAGACTAGTTTGTCGAAAAGAGACTGAGCTCATTTGACTTTCACCTCATGAATTCATGAAATAAAGCTTGATTCACAGTGTATATTTCCCTGTGAATTTGAGAGATTCATACAAACTGTGACATTTTATCAGCATCAGAAGCTGGATCTCTCTGACATGTTGTGTTGGCAAGCACGGCTGCTTTGCCATGGAAAATGAGGCAATTGGTTATGTGTAAATCTAAGCAGTATATATGTGTGTGTGTCACAATGAAAAATGAAAAACTAAATAGTGAGTAGCAACAAAATCTGCCTTCCCCTGTAATAATTACTAGATCCCTGTTTTGTTGCTTGCCTGCCTTCCATGGCAGTCAGTGTGAAGACTGCCTTGCAAAAAACCCTGGTTTAGCTGAATTGGAAGCAGCAGGTGCTACAGTCCAAGACAAGCCAGACAAGCTCTTCCCACAGGGTAAAACCTCCGGGCAGTTATACATGAGCAGGGACATCTCTGCCTCATAGAAGAAGGAGCAGATGAAGCATAGGAATCATGGAAGCCTCAGTCTTAGCCAGGGGTAAGTGTTAATACCTTTCAAGAGGTCCTCCAGCATAGATTAGCAGATATAGCAGTTTCTACCACAAATTATAAAACCCAGAGGAGAACCTCAGCTAAAGTAGATTTAATGGAAAAGAGCTAATCTGTCTCTATGCAAAAAGGAGAAAGCAAAATGGGGAAATAGAGGAGCACCAGCATTCACTACTGCATGTAAGTTGTTATGGAAAATATGCTTGAAGAGCAATCTCCGAGTCAGTCACGTGCACTGACCGTGCCTGTTTTAGAGAAATTTCCTGATTTTGCCTCATCAACCCTTCATGATAGTCCTCTAGAATCTGTACCCAGGGATGGCAACAACCACATTCAACTTAAGAAAGTAATGACTAAAGTAGAGGATTTTAGGAACATAAGGTCTGGGATACTTGCATCTATCAACACTGTCCCTAGACCATGAAGATGCAGTAAATCAAAGTCAGGGCTTGATCTTGTGGCAGTTGGAGTGGCTGCTACTTGCCCTGCTGAGGATTCAAGTATCAAGGTGATGTGGTAGTTAATTACCACTGCTTTAGTATATTCCCCATCGACAGAGGAGCCCAAACATAGATAGTAGATAAGGGCACTTACCAAGGACAGCCTCCACTTAGCAAACAAGTAGTTTCAATCCTAAGTGTCCATGGGCAAGTCACTATTCACTGATTGACTAAATTAATTCTGTATAATGGATCAGCAGCCTACCTGACTTTATACGTAGGTCCTAATAAGAGGTGCCTTTTAGGTAAGAATTTACTGAAGGGTTAGTGACGAGTGCACCCATGGGGACAAGGACAACCACACCATTTATTGCACAGTTTGCCTCATATCAATGCACCCTTGTTAGCCTGTTACAAACAGATGCTGCCTCAGCCCACAGCAAGTTAGCACTCCACGTTGCAAGTTCCCTCCTGATGCTATTCACTCTCTTACTGAATTGACAAAACAGATCAAAGAACAGGGAATCATTGGCAAGTCTCCTCCCTCTACAAGTCTCCTATATGGCCTCGAAAGAAGCCTAGTGGCAAGCAGTGACAAATAGCAGGTTGTAGAGGCCTGACTGTTCCTGTCCACTGTGGCTGTTCCAGCTTTAGCTGATACAGTCAGTTCTCTTCATGATGGATGGCAACTATCCATGTGAAAGTTACGGTTTTTATGAGCCCAGCACAGGAGCCAGATAGGATGAGGTTTGCTTTAATTTGGCAGAGAGTCCAGTATCCATTCACTAGCCTATCGTGAGGCTTAAATCATAGTCTCACCGCACGTGTAGCTCATGCTACACTGGCTAAAGAGCTGGAAATGTTCAGCTTCCACAAGAGGTCACTGTGGGGCAGCACATCGGTGATGTTTAAAGAGGTGGCGGCCCCTTTGCAGAACCGGTAGACAAGCGACGGACACTTGCTACAGCCCACCTACAGTCAACTGCAGCAGAAATACCAGAAGAACAGAAACAAGAGCTCAGTCACGAATTAATATTTTGGGGAATCAAATAGATAGGTGGGAGAAAAATAGCCCCCGATGAGGCACTACAGGAAATACAATAGTTACCCCTACCCCAGAATAAGAAAGGAGTTATATGCTGTGCTGAGACTTCAGGATCTTGGGGAGCACATGTTCCAGGGTTTAGTATAATAGCCTAACCACTCCATAACTTAGTAAAGGAAAATACAATCTGGGAATGGTACCCGCAACATAAAGAGGCCCCCAGAGCTGTAAAAGAAACCTGTTAAGTGTGTGTCAGCCATTGGGATTCACCCACCCTATGTGTCCCTCACACATCCAAGTAGGAGAGAAGGGATATTGATGGGGACCAGAGCAACAGGGGCTGCCTGGATCCACACAATACTCCATCACTTTGGGTTTCACATCAGAGCAGAATTTTGCGAGAATGCAGTAATATGTAACAACAAGACTACTATTAAACAATTATGGGAAAAAAAACCCCTAATTTTTAATAGGAAACCAGTGATTATGTATTTCCAGGAAGACCGTGAAACTGGTCAGTGGGGTCAACATGAGGGCAAATACACTTCCCCTCTAGTAAAGCTTTTTGAAAATCCAAAACAGCATGAGTGTTTCTTTCTGTGGTAAGCATAGAGTGCCTCACTCCCAAAGCTTTATGTGCTTCAGTGAAATCTGATCAGAAAAGATTATAGGTATGGCCTCTCCCTAGACTATTTACTGCCCTTGCTTAGTTACTGATACCTTAGTTATCTCCATCTTTGAGAACTGATTGGAAAATAAGATGGTTTTGAAAGAGTAAGTTATAATTAATAAAGCTTTCTAAATTGTCTTCTTTCTGTGAGATGTGCCCATTCATGTGCCACTTGGAAAGATGCCAGTCTTAGAGAACAACCATCGAGGCTGTGGCAGAGCCTGGAGCTTTATCCATGAGAATTATTTCAAGGATGCTAACAGTTGATCTTTTGAAGACTTCACCTTTTTTTGCCACGGTCATTAATAGCAATGCCTTTAATGATCATTATAGCTACATGTGTGCTCTGTGCAAAGATCTGCACAACTGCCTCAAGATCCCGGCAGAAACCTCAACCCATTCCCCTCATGGGGGGCAGTAAGGACTTCCCCACCTCCTCCTTACCTTTCCTATGAGGAGACAGACACAGAAACAGGCTTCTCCACATGCTCTTACGTGAAGGGGGTAACTGAAGCTGAAAATGGGGAAGACAGAGAAAGAAGGGGAGAAATACACATTCTGTTTAGGCCGCAAAGCCTGAAACACACCTTTGGTGTCATTCCAGTGAAACAGGCATCCTGTGCCCGCACTCTCCACCAGTTGTTACACATTTGACTATAAATGTAAAATGCTTCCGCGTTACTGCTGTGCTTTGCATGTTCCCACTCTCTCAAGAGGAAACAGTTAACAGAACGGAAAAAAACACCCCGAAACAAAACCCCAAAGCCGGTATCTTAGAGGCGTGGTCCCCGTCAGGCGGCAGCTTCCCGAGCCACCGCCCGCTTGTCTCTCTGCCTGTTTTGAGCCGCTTTCACCGCACCTCAGCCCTCCTCTGCACAGCTCTGCACGCAGGTGAAAGCTGACTCCGAATTTCAGCAATCTTTCGGCTGGTTTTTGCTTTTGGTTCTCTTGCAGCAGATGAAACTCAGGGAAGACAGTGGCATCGTGGCTCCCGAGACACACTTTTTGCTACGCTTCAGTCTCAAAATAACTCGGGCCGGTGGGAAAGATGACGCACTCCCCCAGTCAGTCCAGCGTTCAGCAGAACCGCGGTGCTCAGTCAAGCGGGAGGACACAATTTCTGGGCAATGCCAGGAGCGGGCGCGGCGTGGGGCGAGCGCACGGAGCTGCCCGGACACCCAGCACCGGGAGGGCACGTCCCTGCGCTCCCAGAGCTGACGGTGACACTGGCACAAGGGGGAGGCAGACGGAGACCGAGGCGGGACGGCGCTCGGGGTCCCTCCCCG